TTTGTGTTCGGGCTCGACTTCTTGTATAGGCCTTGTGGCAGTTTCGGGAGCCGTCCCAGGACTTGGATTATCCTCTGATATTGACTGTTCTCCGCTGGTTCGAGCTGACTGACTTGCTGTGGAAGGGCTTTTTATTTTATTTAGCTGTGTTTTTCTTTCTTTGGTTTTGTTGTAGATTGGTTTGTGTTCTTGTTTAGTGTGCTCGTTTCTGTGTTTGTGTTTGTCGTTGTGTTTTAGGTCTGGGCCGTTGGCCTCTGTGCACCCGAGTGTCATTTTCATTACTCTGTTGGGGTCCGACACTCGGGAATTACCCTGTTGGGGTCTTGTGTTGTTTTTTGTTGTTGGTTTGTGTGTTTGTATTTAGTGTGTTGCCGAGTATTCTAGCATTGCTAGTTTTCGGATCTAGGCGGTCTTCGGACCTGTCCTCCCAGTTTTCTCAGTCGTCGGTTGTATTATTCAGCTAGGGGCTGTAACTTTGCACATTTGTGCATTTATATATAAATCCTCTATCGTTTCGACCAAAAAAAAAAAACTAATAAGTTTCAAACAACATGTGAAACTCATCTTGCATTCAGGGACTTGTGTGTTTCAAACTTCTGAATGTGAAATTCATTTCAAATACAATGTATTAAAACTTAACGGACACCCAACCAATATTTAGCGCATCACAGACATTAAATTTATTTTAACCAAAATATAACATTCACCCACTAGATTAAAACAAAATCAACTTATTATAGTGAAAATGCATAAAATAAAGTACCTTTTTATTGAACTTTATCTTAGTATTGTAATCACGATGTCTCACCGAAATCTCAAATTATTTGTAGCATTGAATCAATTATATTTGTGCCGAAACAAGTGACAAAACACACATTTAACTATCCGACAATCACCTATCAATTTTTCTCGCTTAATACTTTTATGGCCATGTCTCCAATCCGTTCGTGAACTCCTAAGAGAAATTCCAACTCTCATGAGAAGCAAGACCACTTCTAAGTTAACATAGGTGAAATTCTTCCAGCATTCTCGTTATATGATACTGAATTTCATTAAAATCTTTATACCTGACCCTCCAACAGTAACGTTCAATATTTTTTTATTTAATCTAAGATGGAACTCACAAATTTTAATGTTGTTTTACTTATCAGTGGCTTGTTTTTACAAACTGAACTTAAAGCTAATCATTTTTTGGTATTAAGTTGGGTTGACATCATTGATGAATATATTTAAGGAGTTTTAGTCTCATCCCTCAATATGTTGGTCTTACTAAATCTCTCGTTAGAGGTTAAGTAAAAGAATTTGCAAGATTCTCACTTGATCTTAAAAATGAAATTGGTATGATTCCATCTTGAATCAAATGTCTTACAAGCTCATGTCTGAGACTAATATGTATAGACTATAGACTACCCGTTATATACTCCACTATGTATACGAGCTAAAGTTTACACGAGCCAAAGTTGTTTGACTATCACAATGTATTGGGAGTCCTGTATATAGGACCTGTCTAGAGTTGCAGAAGGTTAACAAGAACATCATCTGCAATTTGTAATCTCTAGAAATAGCCTTACGCATCATAACATATATTGCTCTATTTTCGACTCCGTTCGAGTTCGCCGGAGCTCAGAAGCCTGAAGTGCTACAGATTCTGAGATGCAGCCGTTGTATCTTTGGGGACGAGACGTCTGAACCCGTCAGCACATTACGAGCCGTATTCGTCTTGCAGAAAGAGCAACACTCACCTCCGCTATTGTCTTTCTGCTTTCTGGTTGTAATTATGTTTTTGTTTTTTTAGTTCAAACTGTAAGAACTGAAAATACATTATTCAGTTCATAGTTTTTTCCCTTGTAATCAACACTCAATATTTTAGCAGGTTTTAAGTCCGTGTTGGTACGAAAAGTAGTTAGAGAAGTGTAGTTTAGGACAATAGGATTAGAAGGGAGTTTTAGTCTCGTAAATTTATACTACGCTACGTGCCCACAACCATTTTCTAGTGAAAGAATTCTTAGGAAACAAGATATTTCCTGAAGACGTTTTTGTTTAAATCGCTTGTGCATTAATATTGTGTTTCTACATAGTACTCCCCACACTTCAATGATATTTTTTACACTTATAAATTAGAAAAAGAAGAATTTGAGGCGTAATTGAATTTCATTCATGGCAGACCCTTCACGAGTCTTGTATAAACAGGACCCTAAACAGTCAGTCACCTGTTAAAGCTGAATGGCCATAATAATTGGTCAAACCTGATTTTGTAAATGTTTTATCTTTGATGCTTTCTTTGTCTTCTCATAGTTGTTATTAACAATGATTTCATATGTTTCTCCATTGCAAGACTTTCAAGGATGATTATATTCCTTTTAGAGTAAAAGATATGACTTGAAAATTTGGAAAGTTGTCACTTTCGAATTAGTCTCTATAATAGACATATAACGACTGTTCAAGGAGACTCCAACAAGCTTAGTTCAACTTTTGTGGACCCAATAATTGAGACGGCCCAAAAGCTTCTTAAATTATTAGTGAAAGGAAAATTAAAAAAGTTACTCATCCAAACACTGAAACAAAAACATAAGATGATAAATAAGAATGTCCAAAATCACAGCTTCTCATGGGGTCCCACTTGGGGAAGATAAAGCATCAGGCGGGATGTGTTAATGCGGATAATTATATAATTTATATTATTAATTTCCAGAATCTATCAAGAATCAGCACAAATGTGAGTTGAGTTTATCGAGTTAGTCATATTTTATAAATAAAAATGTGTATTTATATTATTAATATCATACTTTTATGTATATTATGATGATGTGAAATATGCAAAAAGTTAGTTTTAGATTGTTGAGAATCGTTCGAAGAGTGCCCACTGGCAGAAATCGAAACAAAAATAAATATAGGGATCAATCTCGAAATTGCTATTACTTTAAGAACAAAACGAGGATTCGAATTGAACCTAACGCACCTAACGGGTTAGAGTAAGTTGTCATGACCCAAACTTCACGAGGTGATAGAGACTTCATATATTATTTTAAAACATAGTTTTTTTAGAAGTATATTTTTCTTTTATTTATGCCTTATTGTCTTATGTTATATTAGTTTTAAAAATATTATAATTTTATAATATATATTGATCAAAAAAATATATCGATCTAATGCATCTCTGGGAACCAGACTATGATAGTGTATATAACCAGACTATGATAGTGTATATATATAGGTGAGGTGACATGTCATTTTCTGTTCCTATTTATTTATGTAATTTTTCTTTCAATGAAAGGATTATTGCATTGAGATTCTGGAGCGTCTATTGGAGTAAAGGGTCAGGTTATGTATTCTGCTTTATTCCAGTACCTATGTGATAGGTTTATTGCCTCATGTATTGGTTATGTAGACTACCTGCGTGTGGATCTCCCATGCTTCCGGCTCGATTGTAAAACTTTATTGTTCGTTCTTCGATTTATGAGAATTTCTATCGTTTCGAAAAAAAAAAAAAAAAATTTGGTCATAAATTGGATTTCCTACTCGGCTAGACCTACTAGTACACAACTCTATAATTGGCTTGGATTTGGAATTTATAAATAAATAAGTTCCGCTCCAAAAAGCTTCCTATTTCAAGATTTGGTGCCAATAATTGCATGCCTTATTATACTAATTTTTGCCTATAACAAAATCCCATGTGAAGATGGACCTACACCATTGTTATTTTCCCGAACCATATTTAGGAATGCAGGATAATTCAACTGAGGAATCAGAGGACTATTATGTCTAGTGTAGCAATTGGACAAAGGAGAAAAATAAAGGATCTCATTCATCGAACCTTTATCATAACATATATAGGTAAGATGTGGACAACTGAGAAATTATCGGAGAAAAATAAAGGATCTCATTCATCGAACCTTTATCCTAAGTCCTAAGTCCTAACATATATATGTAAGATGAGGCAACTGATAAATTATCACTAATTAGGATTCACTAAAAACAAATTGTTATATTCCAACGGAAGATCCTACGGTAATATATTTCAATGAAAAAATGATATTTCAATGGTAGAGCTTCCGGAATCAAATGAAAATATTCCATTAAAATGAGTTTTTCATTGGAACTTTAGATGAAATTTGATGATTCCAACGGCTATTTTCCAACGATTTTTTACCATAGAAATTTCTGTTGGAATATGTAATTTCCATTGGAATTTTTATTTCTACCTTCGTTGAAAAATCTACAATTGAAATCGTCAAAATCCAACGGAAATTTCAATAGAAAACTCATTTCAACATAATATTTTTGTTGGAATTTCCGTTGGAATCCGTTAGTAAAATTCCAACGGAAATAATAACATTGTAATATCCATTGGAATTGTTATTGGAATATATTTTCGTTCAAATTTTCTGTTGAAATTCATTATTTTCTTGTAGTTATTCGTCTAAATAATCATATTTTTTTTAATCATTATTCCTCCGGGATATGGTCATCGACGTGAAGTCTATGTGTACGCGCCCGCGTGCGTATTTGTGTGTGCGTATGTGCGTGTGTGCGCGTTTGTTTAGTGGGTGTTTAGTGTGTGAGGGAGTGTGATATTAGGGTTGGTTGGAGTGAGGTCCACTAGGTAATTTGGATTGATTGTTAATGACCAAAATGCTCTTAATGAGTGGTCAAATGTTATGACCACTTATTTATGAAATTACCACAACATGTTTGAATGCGATATTTATGATTTGATTTAATCATGACCATTAATATGTTAGATCAGGTACAGATTTATTCTTCTTTCTTTCACTACCTACCATTCTCATATGATCCTACCTCTATATAACGAGTAACTCACTAATAGTAAAATTTATATATTTTTATATATTTTTCTCTTATTTTTTTATTCATTTTTTAAAACTTTTCTTACAAAATATTTTTTGTGCCCTGACAATATCTAATGTTACTAATAATCCTTAAAAGAATAAATCGAAATCGACTCAATTTCAGACGCAAACAAATATTAAATTGTTATTGAGTATCATGTCCTCTAATAAATATAAGATATAACAAAGGAAATAAATTTAGAATATATCGAATAAAGTTTAGCACATTTAGCACATTTTGCCAGGGCCTTATAAAGTTTAAGATTGGCTTAGATGCATCTGACGGGACAATAATAAATTTAGAATATATCGAATAATTTTTCTTACTTCCTAACCAAAATAAGGAAATAATGAATCTCAATTAGGAGGGCACAGTCAATAATGTACTTAAAAAACTTATTTACCATCCATTTGTGTAATATCCCAATCAAAAACATTTGGTCATTTCTTAAGGAGCAACAAAATTTAACAACTTATTAGTGATAGACGCACTCACAGAAAGAACAACGAGCAGCGCAAATTTATAGTTGAGCTCCGAGTTCCAGCAGTAAAGTGTGATTAATGTTATCAGATGCCGGACCAGAAAACTGAATGGGGCCTGTTGTTGTAGTGACGGAAGGAAGAGTGAAATCAAAACATGCTGATGAATGAAAATGGAAAATCTGACATTTGATATTGATTTCTTGAATGTTTATGCAAAATGCCGGCTTTTAGAAGAACCGTACTATAACATAGCATAAGTTAAGAGAAGCTGAAAAATACGCCAAAACCATTTTTACTTTTTCTCTTTTTTATTTCTTTAAGCTAATCATCACTTCTTGGTAAGAACGTGCATTGTATTGATATGACATGAGAAGAAGTTCAATCAATCAAACAAACAAACAATCAATCTCAAAGTGAGTGAGATAAATAATCTTACCAGGATTCAGATATCGGTTTTTAAGAGCCCACTCTTCACGCATGGATGCAAATTTCTTGAATGGGGCACCTTCTAGCTCAACCATTGCCTTCTTTATCACGGGTTTGAACTTGCCTGCAATTGAAATTTGGTTTTAAGTGAAGGACTAAAAAGAAAAAAAGACAAAGTAATGGCTGATGACGAATTGTTCAATGCTGATAAATTTGCTTGTGTCGGCCAAAGCAAATGCGGCCTCAAAATCTCAAAGAGTGAAGATGGGGAGCATTTTTCATTCGAAGTACCTTATCAAGCACGCATTAAAAAAATAAAATAAAATAAAAAAATGACAAGGTAGAAAATAGAAACAGGTTATACCATGTCTCCTTTCGACATCCATCAACGAAGTCAGTGCAGTTCCTCCAACAGTCCATTCGGCCACTGGAGCAGCCAAGTTTCCCACCTGAAAAAATAAATAAATAAATAAAACGGTACATATTAAAGTGATAATCATAAAAACAGCCTGTGTTTATTGTAGAAATTGAATGAAACTGTCTCTTTAGCGGTTCAAATTGTATAGAACAAAGAAATATCAAAAAGTACTTGTGTTTTCGAAAGGTAACTGGGTTCCTTTTGTAATTAAGTCAAATCTTTGGGATAATTTTGCAATAGTAAATGAGAAAACGAAATAGTAGAAGCACAAACCGAGGAAATTAATCCAGTTTTGCCACTCTGAAGCAGTGCACCAGCCGCGTAACCCAAAGCATAGCAGTAGGTGGCATCAAAATTAGAAGGTAAACCACATCTCCCTTCATATCTGACAAATCAAAACCGAGATTAAATGTGAAGAATCATTTGGTTAAGACATTTATAGCTAATGCAGTAAAAATCAGATAAAGGCAAAGTTGAAGAAAAAAGGTACCCAAAAAAGTGAGACTGTCCCTTGAATTGACCTTTGTAAGCAGACATCTTCTTCCTTGCCTCCAACTCAGTTTCAACCATTTGAATAAGCATTTTCTCGGTTTCAATTTTCGCAACCTACACACAAAAAACACCAAATAATCACATAGAAATGTCAAAATTGTGCTTAAATCACCATTATTTACCACATTTGGACATATATTTGGTTCATTTAACTGTACATAGATAAAAAAAATAAAAAAATAAAAAATAAATAAATAAAAAAATTATCAAAAGTTCAATACTCCCTCCATCCCATAAAGATGAGCCTGGACTTATGACAATTTCCACACAGTTTAGCATCACAAAATCTTTGTTGTTGGGAAGTAAAAACCAAATGTGTACCCTCTAAACTAATTATCATAATTTTCTATGACTCTATTTATTGGAACTTAACATTATAAATACTCCATTTAAAGTAGCATACGTTGTGGGACACCCAAAATAGCAATGTGACTCATCATTGTAGCGTGGAGGGAGTATTACTATTACATACTAATTGATTTATATGTAAATACATCATTCGAATATGAACAAAATATTGCATTCTCAAAATATAAAAATTTGAATTCGGATTTCCTGTGTACAAATTACCTGGACATTCCCGTGAGGATCTCTCTCGAGCATCAATTGTTCCTGAATTGCTGGTGGTAGAAAATCAAAAAGCTCCAGACACTGGAGGCTAAGCTTCTTTTTCCAGACCCCAGCCTCATCCACAACTTCATGAGCCAAAATCTCGTTTAGTTCTGCAATTAGCTGCTGAACCTGGAAATATAATCAAGTAATAGAATCGGAAATGAGAATATATGTCCATAAGGAAGTAACATAAAAATTTTGTTTTTCACGAAAAATAGATTATAGCAAAGTAGGATGATTGTTAGCAAAAGCTGTATAGAGCTACAGAAATGTTACCAAAAGAAAACATATAATATAAATGTAGCATAGATAAATAAAAAGAAAAATGAAAAATAGTTGAACCTCAGGAATAAAATCAATGAGTCCTTCCGGTATAAGTATGACACCATAGTTGTAACCGACATCAGCACGTTTGCATATGACATCAGCAATGTAGTCTGTGACATTCTTAAGGGTTTGCTTCTTGGCTGCAACCTGTAGCGCAATTGAATTTGTCACTGGATTTTTTTTTTTTTTTTGGCCATGTTTTGCCACCAAAACCTTAAACTGTAAGTTGATTTCAATATTTATTAGATATTCAATAAGCTTCTATGAAGCTCTCAAAATCGCCCCATATTCAGGAAAATAGAATTTGATGCTGATTGGTAGCAATTGTCATGTCTCCACATTTTGGAGATTGTTTTTCACAGTAAACAAAATAAGCTTTTAATAAACACCATGATTTTCTCATCCTTTGCACAATTTTTGTAAGTGTAAAAGATTCCCAATTAAGTTTTGAAATCACTAGATATGCCAAGAAGAAGAGAAAAAAATAAATAATCAAAAGGTACCTCTTCCCCAATAAGAGTGATATTAGGGTGAGTCTGCAAAGCACATTCCAATGTAATGTGGGAAGCAGCACGTCCCATAAGTCGAACAACTGCAAATAGTGAGATAACTGTATGATTAATATTTCATAAATTCATCATTTACCTAGAATATCATAATGGAAATTTAAGTTCAAAGGACATGTCATCTTGGCATAAGCAACTAATTATTTACATAAATGAAAAGAGAAATATCATTGTAAGATGATAAACTAACAATTCTTCGGATGAGATCCATGATCAACAGTGAAGGGATGACATGGCTTTGGAAGGCTAATTTACCAATAAACAGGTGCCAATAAAATAGAATAAAAGATAACACGCAATTCACTTCTTGCATACCAAATTTGATACTCACAGTGGTAGTATTTTCCAGTTGAGCGGGCATCTACCATGACATTACCAATCATTTCAGCATATATCTGCAAAAAGAGATGAAAACAAGACTTAAGGTTCAACTATTGAAAGTACTCTAATAATACCAAGTTTTTGACCAAAAGTCATAATACTTGTGTTGATACATACACAAACATAGAGTTCAACAAAATGATTGGTTGAAAAATGTGCATGCATTAATTATCTAATATTGTGATTTTGCACGTTTATTCTTTGCACTTATGCATTTCTCAACCTATTTGATATTATGGGCAATTCCCGTGCTTTGATGAGGTTTGTAGTGTTTTTCAGTATTTTTGGAAGTATTTCTAGCGGACGATGACATTGAAGGCAAAGATGTGAGCTCGACAACCTCCGTTTGGTGCAGTACGGGGGTGCCCACCCCATATGCTGCCAACAGAGACAGCACCTACTCTGTTGTCCAACAAAGCCCATGCACATATTAAGGCCCATGCACCTCACGTAAGTTGGCAGGGAAATTAATTATGTTGGGCTGCAAATATTAAAGTTGAAATGGGCCTATTATTGAGCTGGGAGAATTATTTTGACTGGGGGTATTATATACAAAAGAGGGAGAGTGACGTGGCAAAAAGGGAGAGAAATATACTTGGAAAGATTTTGGAAAAACACGTACCTGGCTGCTGAGACCTAAAGGGGGATTGGAGTTGGAGACTCGAACAGAGAGGAAGCAAGGCAGAAAGCAGGCAACGGAGAACTTTGGATATTAGAGAAGAATTTCATTTTTCTTTTCTCTTTCTTTCTTGTTTAATTAAATTCTTGATTATGTTTTTGAACGCTATGCATGACTAGTACTTTTATTTCGAGTTTCAGGGAAGTTGAACCCTACGACTTGACGATGTTTTATTAATTTATGTGGTTGATAGTTTCAATATCTTTTTGGAATTGTGTGTTATTTTGACTGAATAATTTAGATTTGTCAAGTCTTATTTGGATTGATCACCTAGATTAAACTTTTCATCTCTATAACTAGACTTACACATTCAATCCGTAATTGTTGTTGTGTTTGATTCATAAGTAGCAACCGGAAGCTGGTAATTACCGGGGATAACACTGCTTGTGATCACGTGGGTGGATTCGCTACTTAGATTAGCCTATTTTTCTAGATCCTAAAGCGGCTAATTGTATTAAATCTAGAGAGCGTCTCGCGGTTAAATTAAAAGTAAGAAAAATTCGGGTAGCAGAGCGTGTTGTTACCTAGGGCTAGTAATTCCATAAGATAACGAGATTTGATACCAAAATTGATTAGACAAGTCGGTCGAGGGTGTAGACGGAACCGTGGACTAGAAACTTTCTCATTCATTTAATTAATCATTTTTATTTGCGGCATTTAATTTTATTTCATTGTCCGTAATTCTAGTAGTTAATTTTTAGTATTATTTCTGTTATTTCAATTAAAGAAAAATAATTGCAATTCGATTACAAACTCCCTGTGGGTTCGACCTTTGCTCACTACTATTGCTAGCTGGTAGAAGTTGATAAAAGAAAATTTAAATTATAATATGTCGCGTGACGCGTGGTCAATAAGGTATATATTAGTGAAGATAAGTGTTTCACAAAAGGTTATGTTGGTTGGGTAATCACGGTATTTGATCACATATGAAATGTTTAAACATCAAAATTTCAACTAGAAGCTATACCCTTTAGGATTGTGCTGGTGAAAACTCCGTACTAAACTAAGATTGCACCATATAATATTCAGTACTGTAACACTAGTGGGTCAGTAAATCAAAGGGGGAAAAAGGAAAAGATATCTGATACAGAACAAGATGTGTTCCAATAGCCTGCTGCAGAAAATAAATTTGACCAAGGCATAAGTAAATAAACAACATAAAAAATTCAAATACAAGATTACCTTGCATGCAGTGTCAAAGCCAAAACTCGTGGGAACTTCCTTGCACTTCAGATCACCATCTATGGTCTTTGGACATCCAATAACCCTTGTTTTCAAATTTTTGCTCCTGAAAAATATTTTAAAAAGAAAAAAAGCAAAAGAATATTATCATTGATAAGTCAACTACTAAACATCAGAAAAGGGAAGCAAAGAGAATGACAAATCCTCCACACATGGCAGGTCAAACTACCTAAAATTTTCAGCCAGAAGACATGCGTTTGTGTTTGAGTCATCTCCACCAATTACAACAAGGCCATCTAAGTCGAGCTTAAGAGCGGTTTCTTCAGCTTGCTTAAACTGAGATGAGACAAAGCAGTTTGTGTGAGCTTCAAAAATAGCTTGTCTGGGAATAGTTTTGAAAGAATATAAGTAAATCAAATCCCCACCTGCTCTGGAGTCTCAATTTTGTCTCTTCCACTACAGATCATGTCAAAGCCACCCTGAATGAAAAATTATAAGTAAAATATTTCACAGCATAATGAGGATAGATTGAGTATTGAATCATAAATTGTCTCAATGAGTCACAGTTGACACTCACGATTGCTGCTATGCTAAATGTTGCAAAATGGTACGATTACTTACAATTTATAAAATTGCTTTGCTTTCTTATTAGCATTAGACTTACGTTACAAGTATCTTCATGTTTTTTGGAGTAGAAATGGAAAATCAATATAAAGTTGAATGAAATACATCTTTCGTGAAAGAAAAATAAAAAAGGAGCATAACTTTTTGGATCCCACAAGTATCTGGGGATCATTCTTGAAGTCATGAATCAGAAAAAGAAGATGCTAAGGCCCAGGTAGAAGTTAGGAATGATATTTTCTAGGGTTAAAAAACCTACTAATTTGAGGACTCATTCACTCTCAAAATTCCAGAAACTATAGTATGTGGGCATAGCTCAACGCCTGAATATCCTTTTCACAAGATGCGACCATATTTATACAAAGTGAACGGAAAAATAACCAATAGTCATTGTCGAGCAAAAAAAGACCACTTTTTTTTTAGAGAAAGAAATGGATAAGGAAATGAAAGCACCTGATTTCTATAAGGATAGATAAACTCCGGGGTCAGCACAACATACTTGCACTTCATAATTCCAGCTGGCCCACCCCTAAACCCATACAATGTGCTCCCTTTAATCCGATCCTGCAAGTAATCTACAAACCATACGCACATGCTGAGTAAATATTCACCTGAAACAACTTATCGGAATAAATTAGATGAAAAAAATAACAACTAACCAAAAATTCCAGAAATGACATTGTGGCCTCCAGGAGCTTGTCCTCCAGATAAAACCACACCAATTTTCAAGCCTTGACCTGGCAAGGTGGATTCTCCTGGTACCAAGTTTGCCGATGGTTGTCCAAATAAGCAAGGAAACAATTTTGCAATCTCATCTGCATTTCATGACAACAACAAAAGTAATATTACCTACATTGTGAAATACACTCACTTGATCCCTTATTCAGTCAAATATAGACCAATCAATAGAAAAAAGGTAGCATAACGGAAAACTAGTCCCAGTACAAGAAAAAGTGAGACACAGAACCATTTGAGACTTTGGGTAGCTACACTAAGCATCTGTCTTAATCCAATTAAAAGCCATTGTAATCAATACTTTCAACTCTAAGCCCTAAATTAAATAATGCTCACAAGAATCAACGCCCACCTTGACAAAATAGAGCAGCAGAAAAAAAAATGAAACAAAAAAGGATAAACTTTCAACAATGATATGATCTTCAATTAATTCAGTCCACTAATTAGGAATATAGAAGACAATCCTCTGCTCAAGACTGTCAAGATGACGTTGTCCAAAAAGCCGAGATCTTGGAATAAGAGAATACATCTAATGCAACTTGAGCAGAATTTTCTCAGATTTCAGCTAAATAAATCCAATTTCAATAACCGAAAGGCACCCAAACAAATGGCAATGAAAAATAATTATATCATGCCAACAAATATATTTGAAATCAAGCAATGATTGGATTGCACATCTTAGAGTATCACTCAAGTAAATTTCCAAAACAATTAATCAACTGAAAATCTTTACTAAAAGAAACCTGGGTTGCCTGCAGCGGAACTGGGTGGGCCGTCAACGACATTGAAGGAGCTTTTGAGGACGGAAGGTAAGGGGAGGTGGTGGTCGAGGCGGCTGTTCTGCACTTCGCTGTAAACGGCGGCATATCTGCCAGTAGACGGAGTTTTGACGGCGGCGTGATCGCCGTTGGAGACCAATGCAGCAACAGCAGCCATCGGAAAAATATCGGAGATTATTTGTTGCACGCTCGACTTCGGAGTGGCCAATACTCGGATCTTTCGGAGCTGTCTTTATTTGTCACTCCCTTTTTNTAAATAAGTAAATCGTTAGGAGGGGTAAATATGTCCTGGAAGACTCCGCCCCACATGGGTAGCTTCAAAGGGCAGGGTGTTTTTGGTAGTTTAGTACTAGTGCGTAAACATGGTTGCATTTTTCCAGTGGGATTAACGATTTTATTTTGGGGTTTTAGAATTTAGTTGAAATTTTAGTTGGTGAAATATCACCTGTTTTTCACCTAACAATCAAATATTGCATGGCCATTAATTCAAATCCAGGCTCCGTGTGTTGGGCTCGGCCCAATAAATGTTCCATATTGCGTCTTTGTCCATTTCATCATTTTGCTTTCAATCATTAATTTGATCATATTTTTTTATTAAAATTTAAAATAAAACACACCATAGTTTAATAAAATCAATTAATGTTATTTTTATTATAATTATTATATTAGATTATAATTATAGTATTGTAGTTAATTAAATAAATATTTGACTGTTTGTAATTTAATAATTAATTTTTTTTCTTGAATAAGTATTGTCGTTAACACGGTGAGATGTTAACTGATAAAGTATACTTATTAAATTACTCCAATTCGACTATCATTAAAAAAGGAGATTAATGGTAATAGATCATGTGGCCTGCATCACATTATTGGATAATATAACATGTTTCGCAACTATTAAAAATGGTTATTCGTGATTGATATATAGATACTTCAGAAAGTATTGGTATATCCTCCTCAGAAACACTTCGTTTATGTGTCTATAAAAGTACTAATGTATGGAATGGTGTAATAAATCATTTGGCTTGGGTGACAATTACAATTCATGTCTAGAGTAATTTACTCAGATTTAGTCAAACATATATGCTTCTTATGGGGTAGATTTGGGCTTTGTTGGATCGATTACGATACTTATGGCATTGGTAGTTGAGCCAGAATTAAGGTTATTCATCGAATATAGTTTCTCGAGAACCTATTTTCTCTATATTTAGTTGATAAAGTCATTGACCAATGCTAAATGATTACATTTGAAATGGTCCCCCTTAACTTTAACCAGGGTAAAAGTTGTCTTGTCAAGCTGCCAGATTAGGTTGGCTTTGACGGAATCGGTCCCCTTTTGTACAAGAATATGTGGAGTTGAGCATGTCTGTTGACCATTTGGACTTCCTTTACTTTACACGGTCGGGTTTTTCGGGGGAGGGGGAAAAGTCCAGAAATGGGGGAACCATCCCCCTCTTTTTGAATATAATTAATTAAAGTTAACTAATAAGATGAAATAAAATGATTAAGTTTTTAGATAGACACACTTTCAAGTCTTAAAATTAATCGAGTAGTTCGTGAATGAAGCGACCGTATCACCATTAAAATTTTCAGTTATTTATTTGGTTTGTTTTGAGTTCGTCATACGACGAGGTCTATGAGTGATAAGGATCATAATTTGAACTATGCTAATATATGAAGGCCTAGGACCACACAAGATGCAATTTAATTTCCAACTAGGAGTGAATCGGGATAAAATTGTGCTTATATATATATATATATATATATATATATATATATATATATATATATTTCTCAATTCTAATCTCGTTCGCTAGAGCTGTGAACTCTAAATGTGCTACAACTTTTGAAACAAGACGCACGGTTACACTATATAAGGCGTACTTACCTTATACGAAAAGAGATAATTTCGCCTCGATAATTCTCAATTCAATTGAAAATTTCTATTTATTATGTTTGATTGTAAGAACTGAAATTATCTTTTCAATCTGATAGTTTTCATTGTAATTGGACATACCGTTTGTAACAATAACAACCTTAGTTCGGATTCTAAACAAAATCAAGTCAAAGTTTGAAGATAAAAAAATACAACACTTTTTTTTTTTTGGTCGATAAAGTTCGGTAAACCACTCATTTGGCGAACATTGTATTTCCCTGATTTACTTCGGATTCTAAACAAAATCAAGTCAAAGTTTGAAGATAAAACTAGTGTATATCCCGTGCGATGCACGGAAGAGTTCATATTTTAAACATTTTTTAGACTTTATTTTAAATATAATTATTTATATTTTTCACATCTCGTCTATTATGAATGTAAAATAAATACAATCAATGAAAAATATATATTATTATATATATTATTAAATACTTTTTTATACAATATTTTTTATTTAAGGAATATTATTAAACCTTACGGTCTTGATTTGTTTTTTAAATCAATAATCCAAAATATATGATTGTTAACGTACAAAAAATAATGGAAATAATCCAGACTTTAAAGTAAAACTATTTTTTTATTATTTTACAAATAAAATTCTTCTAAATTTTTTTTAATTTCAAAAAAAAATTGGCAAATTTGATAATGAGTTAAATCAAGTTATACAAATGATTAAATAGTTAAAATATTATATTAATTATATTTTAAGATATCCGATTATATAAAAATGGATAAAAAAATATTATACTAATTAGTTTGTTAGGATTGTGATTATATAGAAGTTAAAATAAAATGAAATGTAACCAAAAAATTTGTTCGTGGTCTTTTCCTTTAAATGTTTGAATTTAAAAATCTAGTAACCAAATTTACATTATATCACGTAAGGAAAAAATAAATAATAAATCTATATATATATATAAAGAGGTTGTTGGAAAAATACATTAATAGAAAGTTTGACCAAATAAATATAATGTTTGACTTACTACTAATGGAAAGTTCAAAAAAACACATGTGAATCTTTAGTAACAAAATCTAAATCCTATTCTTTTGGTAACAAATTTGGAGATTTTTTTGAATCCCATTTTTTTCGTATCATATTTTATTTTTTTTACCGAAATTTGAATTATATATTTTTTGGTAACAAATTTGGAGATTCTTATGCAAAAAATATGTCAATTATTTATGAGAACAATTCTAAATACAAAGTAATTTAAAAACCGTGCAAACTGGATACAAATTTAGGAAGCAAATTGTTGTATAATTCTTAACCAATTCTTCCAATCTTATTGAATAATGTTTTCTTTCAAAAAAAATTGTGTAAATTGGATAAAGCCACGTGCAATTTTTATTTTAAAATAAAATTGATATTTGGACGGAATGTACATTCAAAATTGTGTCCAAATTTTTTGGTAACAAAAGCAGTTCATCATTGATAATTAAAGTCACCTTATCCAATTATTTAGGAAAAATTGTGTGCAACTTTTCAAATTTAAATGCATCGATTTTTTTGGATTATTATGTTTTTCCTTAACCATGTTTTATCGAGATTTTGGTAAGTTCATTTCATTTTTTTATTTTTTTTTGTTAAGTCATATCATTTTCTTTAGGAAAGAGATAGTTGCATAAACATTAACAATTTATTTCAGTTTTTTATTAGAATTATTTTCAATTCAATTTGTTTGGTATAAAAATCGGTGCAATGTTAGGAAAATTCGGTTGCATTTTTAGGAAAAACTGATGATTTTTTTATTCGGTTTAAAAAAATTTCGGATCAATTTGTTTGATAAAAAATCAGTTTATGGGTAGAAAAATCGGTTTCATTTCGAGGAGTAACTAATGATTCTTTTCAATTTTTCTTAATTGACATTTAGAATTAGATTTAAAATAAATAATGAGTAAAAATTCCTAAAAAATTCTACTTTTTTTTACTTTAATTTTGTTTAATAAATAAGATCTTTTAATTTTTTTAAAATTTGTTAACTAATAACTAATAATATGCAATTTTGGATAAATTCCAATACCTATGTAGTATTTTACGTGCCAAAGAATCAAATCAATAATGTTGTACATAAGGAAGTGTTCAATAACATATATATTAAATTTTCATGAAATTTTTAATGGCATGAGACAATTTAAATACAAAAATACCTTTCAAAAAATGAATGGGTAATAAATTCTCCCGTGCATCGCACGGGTACCCTACTAGTATTTATTAAAGAGATAAATGAATAATATTTATCACTTAGATAATAAATAATAAATATTTACATGTAAAAAAATAAATAATAATATATTTAAAAATATAAGTCAGAATTTCAAATAAAGTAAAAGGAGGGATAACTCATTTTTAAAAAAAGTTTCTAAATATTTAATATATTGATAAGTATCTCCATAAGAATAATCATACCATTTTAATTTTAAAAAAATTGGCAAGTTTGTTAGAGAGATAAATCCGGTTAGACAAATGATTAATTTGTTAAGATATTATATTAATTGTATCATAAGAAATCGGTTAGATAATGTAGATAAAAAAATATAATACTAATTAGTTTGTTAGAAATGTGATAATGAAAACCAAGATAAAATGAATTTTACCCAAAAAAATTGTTTGGAATCTTTTCCTTTAAATGTTTGAATTTACAAATTTAATACCGAAATTCTATTATATCACATAAGGAAAAAAATAAATAATAAACGTTATTAATATATTAAAATATGTAATTTTGAATTTCATATAAAGTAAAAGTTATGCTTATTCAAATTTATTTTTAAAATAAAAGTTATGATAAACATTTATTGATTCTTTTTCAAATATATTAATAAAATAAAAATATAAATCTAACAAATTTTGAAACAACCAAAAAAATCGAATTGATTGGCATAAAAAAAGGAAGTGAAATCGGATTTGAATGCTAAAATCGGAACACCTTACCAAATTGAATGTTAAAAAATTTCATTTGATTGGTTACCTAATTGCATGGGCTGAAAAAATTCAAAAAAAAATTTACAAATTGAAGAAGCGGGAAAAATACTATATTGAAGCGGGAAAACGAAATGATTTTTTTCGAATTGTTCAAATAATTTTTCTTCTCCGTATTATATAGTAATAGATACTAACACTTTTTTTTTTTGGTCGATAAAGTTCGGTAAACCACTCATTTTGCGAACATTGTATTTCCCTGAATTTTGCATACGGAGCTTTTCAAAACGGTACATTTGTACATGTTGACAATGGTTAGTTAGATTTGGGGCCCTGAACTTAAAATTCATGATAATGATGTTAAAAAAAAAAAAGATAAAAAATTGCATTAGGTTTTCGAGATTACTAATTTACTATCATACACCCCTTTTGTTTATTTTAAAGTGAGTCAAGGAAAAGATATTGCACAACTGCATCCGTTGACTAGAATTTTCTAGTCCACGAAGAAATTTTATTCGGTGCTGCTAACGAATGAATGCTAGCTAGTAGAATATTACTCTCCAATTAATGATATATAAATATATATTCTTGAGTAGTTTGTCTGGTTTGAATTGTTCTCCTCCTTTGCATACATTCAACCTAGCTATTTAATTTACGCAAGCTTCTGAATTTTCTATGTATATTCTTATCATCTTATTGCAATTGTTCTTTACCAAAATTATATATATTATCAACAACGTCACTACCCAACAGCAGGAAGTAATACCAAAGTCAACTATATATTTTTTTTTTTTTTTATCATATGTAAACTTGAACGTAATGATAAAGCTCATTTTCTTATAAATAGTTGACACATTATGTTATGATAACTTAATTTAAAGAAAATTCACAATAACAACAATATAAGGTTATAATAATTTTCTGATAAAAAGAATCGTAATTTCCTCGATGGGTAGTTGTATATCTACTGGTAGAATAAAACAAATGGTTTTTCTTTCTCTTTTCTTACTTTCTTATAGTTATCAAGCAACAGCACGATAAGTGTTCTTAATCAATACTAATTATATATGAACTTATTCATTGTTAGACTCAAACGATATGGTTTCATATTGTGTCAATTTTATGATTTATTTCTTCATTTTCTTTCTCTTTTTGAAAAAAAAAAAAATTAAAGACATATTCTTTTGATAATTCAAATTGAATTCAAATTGAATTCATTGATCACAGCGTGAATTAGATTCATATTTCATTGAATAATATTGTTCATTTGATTGCAATATAATTGATAATTCTCGTGCGTTAAGTACATAACTTTTTGGTTAATATTCTATACTCTGCTTGCATTACGGGTCACGTATATCGCACCCAAAGGCAAATACGCAAATCTCGAAGGATGCAACTTTTGACTTTGGTATTTGCAAGAAGGAAAATAAACACACGAAAGCTATGAA